AAGAGGGGGGCGCTCTGTAGAGAATGCCTCCTGAGTGGACCTCCACTCTGAGGGCTTTTATCTGGAGGTCTCAGGGGGAGGATCTCAATAAAACATTCATCAGTTTTCCCAGTGTGTCTCCTCAGGGTCTCCACTGATTGGTTGGGGACAGGGGGTCATTAGTCAATGCAGCTGGTCCTGATGTCATGGTGTTACTCCCTCTGATTTTGCTGCTTTTCTGGACTTGGAGCCGACACACAGCTGAAGCCTAGATGTCCTCTTCAAGGGGTTAATGCTTAAGGGAGCGGTTGTGCAAGGGCTCGTAGTTCTGCAAGGGCTTCTGGTGCAAGGCACCTCGGGCTACTGGCACTGGTGACCCTCGGCAGCTGGCCCACCCTTGCTCTCTGCTCGTGCTGTTCAGCTGCCTGCTCCACTTACATGTACAGGAAAGGAGAACTTAAGAAGAGTGGATCTTATAAGTAACCAGATAGCTTTAGACCTATATTAGACGGGCAAGAGTCAGAAAGCTGGATCATGCCAGGGACTGGGTGAGGTTGTGGGTCTGCGGGCACTTGCCTGGTGCAGCCCTGTGGAGAGTAGGTAAGCACTGCTGTTTGTGGAGGGGGCGTGGGGTCTGGAAGGTCACTGAAAGAGCGGACAGGTAAGGCCCTGGCCAGGTAGCTCAGTTGGTTTTAGCATCGTCCCGATACGCCAAAGTTATGGGTTCAATCCCCGGCCAGGGCATATACAACAGGCAACCAATAAATGCATTAACAAGTGGAAGAACAAACCAATGTTTTTCTCTCTCTTAAAAAGAAAAAAAGAGCGGATAGGCAAAATGTGGTGGATGACACTGGGATTTATTATGCAGCAGAGAGAAGCGGCAGATTAGATGTACCTATGGTGCCATTAGATGGGTCTTAAAAACCACTGAGCGAGAAAAGATACAACAGGAAATAATGTAGTAATGCCATTTATGAAATTTAAATATATGTGCACAGAACAGCAAAACACATTTTACAAGAATGCATACAAACCGAGATACACATTACACACATCAGAACAGTTGGCTAAAGTGAGGGAGGAGGACCTGTGGAAATACATGGAAACGAGAGAAGAAATGACGTGGGCAAACTTGGAGGGTGGGTACTGGCGACGGGGCATTTCCCAGTGGAACCACGAGTGGGTGTGCAGCCCCATTCCACCCGGTGGCATGTTGGTAAATGTTGAACAACTGGCTCTCCAAGGGGAAAGCAAACCCTGATTCATGGTGTTTGCTGATTGCCAAGGTGAGAATACCATGAAGGCTGATTTTAAGCGACCGATGTGACTCACTGAAAGGGAACAGTTTGGAAGACACGCACACGCCGCTCTCTAGTCTGCTTGTGGAGTATACAGTTTCCCTCACTGCTCCCTGAGATTGTCAGTAAGTTTCTGATAATTCGAAAGTAAATTTTTAAAAGTCAAAATATATATGACCAAGATAAGGCAGAACTTTAATAGAATGTCATATACACTGCACACCCTTTAATTAAGGCTCATGGACCACGCAGTATCACCTCAACTGAAAATTTGTTTTCTTCTTAGTTTCTTGAAAAATAGTAGTTATATTTCCATCTCCCCAGTCATTACTGACCAAATGAACCATGACTTTTCCCCCAAATGTCTACTTTTCTCTTCCAAATGCTAAAAAGATAATGGAACTATTGCCTAGCCCTCTATTTAACTTTCCAGGAAAGATATAAATACTGTTGGCTGAGAAATGCAATTAGCACCATATTTCCTAGGAAAAAAGCTATTTCTTTGAAAGGATTGGCCATTTCTGGTAAAAGGCTAGATAGGCCTCTACCCAGTCATAACTTTAAATTGCTCATCCTTTAAAAACTGCAAACATACACGAAGCATTTTCATACTTCCTGGGAACACAAAACTATTGAAAACAATTCTTCCTTGTCTTCCCATTAGAGGAGGTGTCTCAGACTCATCACTATGGACATGTTGGGTCAGATAACTCATTGTTGTGAAGACTATCTGTACATCATGGGATATTTTTTTAATCCTCACCCAAGGACGTTTTTCCATTTTTTTGTTCAGATAGAGTGGGAGGGAGAGAGAGGAAGAGAGAGAGAGAGAGAAACATCGACGTGAAAGGGACACATCGAGTGGCTGCCACCCACACGACCAACCAGGGCTGGGGACAAACCGCAACCGAGGTACCTGCCCTTAGCGGGAACCGAACCTGGGTCTCTCTGGACCGCAGGCCAATGCTCTAACCACTGAACAAACTGGTCAGGGCCATCATGGGATGTTTAGCAGCATCACTGATCTCTACCCACTCCATGCCCATACCACCCCCATTCGGACAACCAAAAATCTCTCTCGACATTGCCAAATGTATCCGAGTGGCAAAATCACCCCCAGTTGAGAATCACTTCATTAGAAAGATCCAAATCTTTTTTTATATAATGTTGTTATTGATTTTTTTAAAGATATGTTTTAATAAATGTTTTAGAGAGAGAAGACGGGAGAGATAGAAACATCAACGTGAGAGAGAAATATGGATCCTGCACACCCCCCACTGGGGATCGAGCCCGAAACCCAGTCTTGTGCCCTGACCAGGAATTAAACTGGGACCTCTCAGTCCATGGGATGACTTTCATTCAATCCACTGATCCACACTGGCCAGGCAAAACAGCCAAATCTTTTCTCTTTTCATCACGTTAGCCACACTTTCAGTGAGGAGGCTCTGCCAGGAAAGCACTGTAAAGCAGCGGCCGTTTGGGTGGAGTAATGGATGTGCGAGCTGAGAGAGTTCTATAAATCTTTATGAACTGCTTTTGTTTCTGGTTTTTACCACCTGCTTCTTTCTTAGTTTGATTATTTTAATTATTATTTTTTGTTAATCCTCACCCAAGGATATTTTTTCCATTGACTTTTAGATGGAGTAGAAGGGAGGAAGAGAAAAAAAAACCATCGATGTGAGAGAGACACATCCATTGGTTGCCCCCCACATTATCCCAACCCGGGCCGGGGATCGAATCTACAACCCAGGCACATGCCCTTGCCTGGGAATGGATCCCGCGACTCCTCAGTCTGCAGGCCAACTCTAACCACTGCGCAAACCCGCCACAGCATTAGTTTGATTTTGAAAAACAGAAGTCTGGAATGGGCCCAACCCTGCCAGCAGTTAAGTTAGGTGCTAATCACCAATAGCTTCAAAGCCTTTCAAGTGGCCCTTCCTGCTCTCTAGTTACCACCAACTCATCTGCCTTGTACATTTTAATTTCCTTCCTCCTTCAAAGACACAGGTAAGGCCATTAGTATCCTGACCCCATCTGACCGATGAAAAAGCCGAAGCTCAGAGAGTTTAAGGTCAAACTATGACCAAGGTGACACAACTTGCTAAGGGCAAGACTGAACCTAGAAACCAGGACCCTTCACACATCCAGATCACGCTGTCCCTCACCCTCCGAGACTTCTCAGGCTTCCTGTTACTTTCCAAAGAGAAGAGCGAGAGAGAGAAGGAAGGAGGGAGAGGGAGAAATGGACAGAGGTGAAGGAAATGAGAAAAAGTGTGGCTATCAATATAATCTAACTACAATTAATAACTCGCTCATGTTGAAATTCAATGTACTATTTTCACTGATGACTTAGTAAAACCCAACTAATAAATGGTAAAATAGAAAAATTCTGTTACAGTGTACAGTATACTTTTTTCTGAGAGCTTATTTAATTGATGGTCCCGGGTCTTCTGAAATCTGAGCTTGTTCATGGGCCCAAACAGCCCCATGCCTTAGGCTACAGCAGTGTCCCCTCACCATCAGTGAACCTGGATCCCCCAGGATTCCCGGAGCCAAACACAGCTGGTCTTTCTGACAGTACGCAGCCTAATAAACCTATCTGAGCTGACCCTTCCTAGGAATCTACGGACTCATTTATTTATGCAGATGACCTTTCCTTAGATGATGTATATTTGCGTGTGTTCCTTCTAATACTACTCTATATATTTAGGCTTTGTCCCTTTTATAACATTCTCTTTTTTTATACTCACCCCAAGACATTTTTCCACATTTTGTTCAGATAGAGCGGGAGGGAGAGGAAGAGAGAGAAACATTGACATGAAAGGGACACATCAAGTGGCTGCCACCCACAGGACCAACCAGGGCCAAGGCATGTGCCCTTAGCAGGAACTGAACCTGGGTCTCTCTGGACCACAGGCCGACACTCTAACCGCTGAGCCAAACGGGCCAGGGCCCTTTTATAACATTCTTGAGAATCAGAATATTCGGTCTCTGGTTCTTTATTCTCTTCACTGATAAAAATCTGTGTATTTTCTACTTTCACTTGAAAATTAAACCCTCAGCTTATTACCCTCTACCAGGGGGTCACCGCATTTTTTCTGTAAAGGGTCCGATAGTAAATATTTCAGGTTTTGCGGGCCCCATAAGGTCTCTGTCATATAGTCCTTTTTATTTTTTAAACCCTTTAAAAATGTAAAACTACTCGAGTGCTGTGCAGAAGGCCTCTGGCTGCCCCGTTTATCAACCCCTGCCCTAAAAAGTCCATTTTAAATGGGCCCTAACTAGCCCATTTGGTATTTGTTGGAACTTGACTCGTCTATACTTCTGAAGACAAGCTGAAGGGGGAACAAAAGCGAACCAGTTGGTCCTTCAGAAAGGCCGGTGGAGTTTTCCCCATGCTCCTCCAAGACTAGGAAGGGTGACCTTCACTTGGCTTGGTTTTGCCTTAAGAAGCCTGAATCCAGGGAAGCTGGCCAACAGGGATAAAGTTGAAATAAAAACACTAACGCCAAGGCCAGTTTATTGACACTGCCTCCGAGGTGGTTAACATGGGAGACAGCAGGCCAGTCACTAAAGCCCTCTGGGCAGAGTTCATTCCACACATCTCACTCATGCTCATGATGTCAAATTAAGCACAAATGAAGCCCAGGAGGGAAATCCAGGCCACAGGTAGTGTCTCCAAGATATGATCCTGATTCCACAAAACGGCTCAGCAAATTCCACAAATGATAGAACTTTATTTCAATAAAAACGTCTGCTTTTTGAGCTGCCTCCTTCCCCACCACTAGAAAACAGCTTTATCGCTAAAAAGCAATCCATTTATTTAATCGTACTCTTTTTAGGCAATTTCAATTTTTTCCACCGTCGTAAGACCACTCTGTATTTTTCACTTTCAGTCTTCTCTTCAAACACTTTTTTCAGAAGAATCCGCATCACTATCTCTGTTTCTGTTTCTTTATCTTCTCCAATGAGAAGATCCAAAGTATCTCCCACTTTCACCTGAAAATTAAAAAACAAAACAAAAACTGAGCCTTGATTACATCTTGGGAAACGCAGGCCAATACAGACGTCTCTGCGCTGAGTTCTCCCAGGTGACCGTCCAAGGGCAGGTGAGGAACGGCCCTGATGGCCCTGCAAAGCCACTGTGCCTACGGCCACTCTCTGAGTGCCTCAAACACGTGCGGCTCTGTGCCGGTCAGCGCCCTTCCCTCAGAGCCTGACTACTGGCAGCTTGTGGACTGTCCTTGTGTGGTGTGGCTCAAATACCTCTTTGGATGATTTAAGGAAACACTTGAATGGATGCATTTATTTATTTATATTATTATTTAATTCTCACCAGAGGATATGTTTTTCATTGACTCAAGAGAGGGAAGGGAGAGAGAGAAAGAGAGAAACATTGATATGAGAGAGAAACATAGATCGGTTGCCTCCCATACATGCCCTGACCAGGAATTGAACCTGCAACCTGGGCAAGGGCCCTGACTGCGAAGTGAATCAATGACCCTTCGGTGCACAGGATGACACTCTAAACAACCGAGCCACACCAGCCAAGGCTGGAGGCATTTATATTTTTATTATTATTATTATTTTTAATCCTCACTTGAGGATATTTTTCCATTGCTTTTTAGATAGAGTGTAAGGGAAAGAGGGAGAGAGAGAGAAACATCAATGTGAGAGACACATCGATTGGCTGCCTCCTGCATGACCCCCTCCAAGGCCAGGGATCAAACATGCAACCCTCCAGTCCACAGGCCAACACTCAAACCACTGAGCCAAACCAGCCAGGGCTAGAGGCATTTATTTTGATAACAATGACAAAGACAAAAAGTGGGACACAATCTTAGAGATTATGTGCACAGCAATTACTTATTATATGCCCTGAGAAGACAATGTCCAGTGCAACACTTTTCACTGATTTCAATCCAGATAAGCCACAACTGAGCACTAGGCAGTTGGCTGGAAGTCACTGTGGAATGGTGGTCAGCTGTAGCTCTTAAAGAAATGGAAGAAACTGCCCTGGACAGTTTTGCTCAGTGGTTAGAGCGTCGGCCTGCGGACCACAGAGACCCGGGTTCGGTTCCCGTTAAGGGCACGTACCTTGGTTGCAGCTTGTTCCCGGCCCCGACTGGGGTTGTGTGGGTGGCAACCAGTTGATGTGTCTCACATTGATGTTTCTCTCTCTCTCTCTTCCTCCCTCTCTCCCTCCAGCTCTATCTGAAGATAAATGCAAAAATGTCTTCAGGTAAGGATAAAAAATAAATTAAAAAAAAGAAATGGACGAAACTGTTCTTCTAGCCCTGATCGGCCTCAGTGATGCCACATCATCAAAAAAGAGAAACAAGGCCAGTCCAGGTGGCTCAGTTGGTTGGACCATTGTCCTGTACAACACAAAGGTTGGTGGTTCAATTCCTGGTCAGGGCACATACCTGGGTTGCAGGTTTGATCCCTAGTTGGGGTGTGTAAAGGAGGCAACTGATCAATGTTTCTCTCTCTTTCCCCCTTTGTCTCTCTAAGCATGTCCTCAGGTGAGGATTAAAAAAAAAAAAGTGAAGGGAATATAGTCAGTAATACTGTGATAAGTTTGCATGGTGACAGATAATTACTAGAATTAGTGGAGTGATCACATTATACGGTATAAAAATGTTGAATCACTACATTGTACACTTAAAACTAATATAATATTATATACCAATTATATTTTTTTTAAAAAAGAGAGACAGGACTCCTCAACTCACACAGATGGAATGCCACAGAAAAGAAGGTCGAGTTGGATGCTGATTTGGAGGGTTCAAGGGCTGAGGTCAAACCCATTCTCGTCCTGATGGGAGCGTTGCGTTGAGCTGGTGCAGGGCATGCCCTGGGGCGCTATATCTTTGTTGCCGGGTGCTGGCCGCCCAGGATAGATACCTGGTCTTGGTGATTTCAGATCCCAGGTCATCTGCCCAGCAACTCAGGAAGGGGCTAAACTGACCCGCCTGCCATGTGCTTCTTCTACTAGAACACAAGCCAGGGATGACCAGGGGCCATCACAGACTGCTCACCACTCTTCCAAGAGGAAGGGGGACCCCATGTGTGGGCCACTTAAAAGCCTACTGGAAGGCTTCTGTTTAAGAACTTTGGCGCCTAATGCTGACTTTTATCTGATTTTCCAATGAATGCTTTCTGAGGCAGTCATAATTTCATGCCTTCAGAACATCTGTTCTCCTACCCACGCATGGCCTTTGTCGGCTCAACACTCAGGCTGCAACCGGGGACTGCACACCTGCCCGTCACAATGCTCCGCTGGTCCGGCCAGGCAGCCCAGAGCAGCCCGATGAAAGCGCACACCTGTTCTGAACCACTAACTTTCTCCCCTAGCTTTGGTGGATGGACTGACCTAGAAATCACTTGGGAGTGGGGCTTAGGGGAGGAATCCTCCTGTAGTTCTGCTGGGTTCAATTAAAAAAAAAATTATGACACAGCTCCAACTGTGTGGACACTTAGAATTAATGTCCAAAAACGCTAGGTTTGGGACTGTGCTTTACCTTTTTTGGCATAACTCTGTTTCACGAGAGCTCATCTTTTATTAAGTAATATATGCAACATGATATGAAACTTAAAAGGTATAAAAGGAGCCCTGGCCAGTTTTTCCCAGTGGTTAGAGCCCACAGATCAAAGGGTCACAGATTCGATTCTCAGTCAAGGGCACATACCTGGGTTGCAGGTTCAATCCCCAGCCCCAGTTGTGGTAGGCAACCAACCAATGTCTCTCTCTCACATCAATGTTTCTCTCTCTCCTTCCCTTCCACTCTATCTAAAAATCTATGGAAAAATATCTTTGGGTGAGGACTAATAACAAAACAAAACAAAAAGGTACAAAAGGATATAGAGAAAAGGCAACCCTTCTTGTGTGTCCTTTCTTAGACATACTGTGAGTGGCGCCTGCCCTTTAAGAGAAAGGTGGGAAGGAATCTTTGTCCTTTACCCAGCCTATCCCAGGGAGAGCAGAGTTTAGGAAGGTTTGAATCCCCACACCTGGGCTCCACATACTCTGTCTGAGTCAACAGTTACTCAGCACCCACAGCACTCTGGGCCCAACTGCTTTGCAGCTCACAGAACAGCTTTGCTCAGCTGCAGGCAGCGAGGGTTACAGCTGCAGCACCAGGCTCAGGCCCCCCGGCGCAGGCCATGGAAGGGGAGGTGTTCTTTATTCCCTGCAAGGCCCTGTCCTTCATAATGTGGGAGACGCACAGCAGACACAAAGCAAAACTAGCTGGGATTAGGGGCAGTTCCAAATACCTACATTTCAAATCTCTCCTTAGCTACAGTTACTATGGCTACCAGGTCTCCTAGTAACAAGGCAGCAGAGTGTTAATACTGGCCCCTTCCTCTGCTGACCCTCAGGAGAAATCTGGAAGGCAGCCAAGACAACAGAACACCCAAGGCAGAATGAAGGAGCAATTAGGCTGTAGTTAACAGTATCTCATAGCAGAGGGAGAAAAACAGACTCATGGTGTTTGTAAATGAGACCCCGCACACTGCACCAAGACCAGGTCTTGCCTTTGGAGCACCGTGGCTGTGGAGAAGGGGCTGGGCTAGCGCCCCAAAGCACAGGCGTTCAGAAGAGCCTGAGCTCCAGAAGCGCAGCTGGAGTGCCTGACTGCCTGCGGCTCCCCAGGACGGCACACAGCCACAGTCAGGACCCGCTGGGTCAGGTGCCATCAGAGGGATCACAGGCCTTGTGACTTGGCGGCTGACGCAATTACTGAGGAGTCCCCCTCCCGTCCCCACTGATCCTGGGAGAAAAGACTGAAGAAAGCCTCCGCGCTCACCCAGGTCCAGGGCCATCGGCTCCCACCCTCCCATGTCCCAGAGCAACAGGACACAGCTCAGGTCCTCCAGCCTCTGGGGTGTTTTGAAATATGAGAGAAGCTAAAATAAAAATAACCTCCAAAAGTGTGTCTTGTTCCCTGGACACTGAGAGTTACAGTATGTCTGCCAATGCCTCATAGATTTGTGTTTTCCAAACTTTTTAAGGGTCTTTGTCATACATTTTTTTGTTTTGTTAACTTTTACCTTCACTATTGCTTTTTCCAATTATGAAAGTGATACATACTTGTAAAAAATTAAGAAAATATAACCTGTAATGCCCCTAAAAATATTAGTAATATTAATAATTTAATTCTAGTTGTATATATTTATGTAATTTATTTTTACAAAAATACATATATTTAACAGTTATGATTTATTATAACACTGGATACTAGAAATACACTTTTTTATAACACTTCTAAGTGACTTCTTCCACTTAACAGTAGTATTGATCTGGAGCTGTGGTACTGATCAGAAAACACGGACCCTCCTGTTTGGTACCGCCCTGCACACGGAGCAATGTACCCAGCAGTGCTGGGGGAGGGGCGTACTGCCAGGCTGCACAGAATTACACATCTGCTCAGGTAACAACAGCAGGCCAAAGAAAACCTCTCCATGGATCAAATGTTTCTTTTTAGCCTGATATTTATGATTTAATGACTAAGAAGTTTAAAAAATACATTTTTGCCAGTTCTGATTGTCATCTTACATTTAAAGAAATATGGGGAAGCTTCACCTCAAAGTCATTATGGCTGCAAAACAGCAAGTGATCTGGGTGACTGAAGCCAGCTGGTGATTCTCACTAGCGTGACCAGGCCCTAGGGAGACCTTAGAAATGGTAAGACAGACACAAGGATGCCCCAAGTAAGGAGCCCGAGGGTAAATTAGGGGCACATTAATTGAGTGCTGGCAAAGCAACAGATAAAAATATCTGGCTGTCTTAGTATCTCACCGTTCTGCTTTTCTTCCATAATTTTTCCCCGTTCAGCCTGAGTTCACCTTTGTAGAATGCATCTTCCACTTTGCTTAAAAAAAAAAAAGTCAAAGTGCTTTAAAATAGAAATATATTCAAAACCATCATACAAGCTTGAGAAACACACCTGCCACTAATGCTTATTCTGACAGTGACCTATATCCCCACAAAATCTAGTGTCGGTGCTGGGCAAGTGAAAGTCAGCAGCTCGTATATGTATCTGAAACAGGGAGACGAAAGGGTACCCCCGAATAGACGCTGACCTGCTGCAAAGATCTGCCCTCTCGGAAAGCCCAGCACGTGCACCTGCCCCCTTTAGGGCAGGGCCTGGGTTCTCCACCTGACTCCCTGTGCAGCAACCACCTTCAACGTGGTAGCTCCCGAGATTCACCACAAGTCAGCGAGCACTCCCTCCCCTCACATACCTGCTCTGTGCCCTGAGAGAAAACCCAGGCACCACATGTAAAGTGGGGCCATTCAGGAATCCTCTACTAGTCTGCACTGAGGTTGGGAAAACGCCAATCCAGCAGCTGCTGCTCTCTCTGAATTTAATCAATGGGGCAACTAGACCAGGGGAAGATGCAGACAAAAATCAGTGCCCTTTCTTCCTATGCTGATTCCAGGTGATTGACATCTGGGCTTCTACTTAATAATAGCAACAGCTACTACTCTGGGAGAAGGAGAGGACTCCTTAAGAGTTTGCCAGATTTTAAAGAATATTCAACAAATCCCAGTCAGGTTGCCTGTGGGCTCAGAGTCACCGTTATTAGTCCCTAAGCTTCACAGATTGAAAAATCAAACAATGGCCCAGGCCAGTGTGGCTCAGTCAGTTGAAGCATTGTTCCAACTGACTGGTTGCGGGTTCGATTTCCGGTCAGGGCACGTACAGGAGGCAACTGATATGTTTCTCTCTCTCCTTCTCCCTTCCTCTCTCTCTTAAAAAAAATCAATAAAAATATATCCTTAGGTGAGGATTAAAAAAAAATTAAACTATGCCATTAAGTTAGGTCAGAAAAATGCAAGTTATACAAGAAAATCCTTCTGAATTTATCATTCATTCCACAATTCTTACCTTGTATGCAGTATGCACACAATGACTGCTACAAGAATGAATGAACAATGAGGGTCACTACTCTTATATAATTATAGTCTAGAAGAGAATGAGATTAAAGAAATCTTGAAAGTTACACTTAATATCTGTGCACTATATGTGAACACAGTATTTTCATCATCATAGATAACATATATTGAGTACCTACTGTATGCCAATCACTGCTATAAGTGCTTTAAATACATAGAGAAATACTCACTTAATCCCACCAACTACCTTCTAGAGCAGGTTCTATTATCCCCATTTTACAGATAAGGAAACTGAAGCACAGTAAATTTCCACTCAAGGTCACACAGCCAGGACTGAAACATCAGCGGTCTGGCTGCAGAGACTACATTCTTCACCACCATGTTATCTTGCTTCTGTTGATTCCAAGAGGTATTTTTTCACACTGTACCATCTGTGAAACCCAGATGCATTTATGCTTGTTATATACATCTAACACGGTGATTCCTTTTCTCCTCAAAGATGTTACTAAATCAATGGTTCGTCTTATGGGAGTTTCAGGAACAAGGAAATAGGGCACATAGGATTTGCAGGCAGTCACTTCACTTCTTTGGGAATCAATTTTCTCATCAATAGAATGAAATAATTGAAACAGGTTTCCTATAAGGTCTTTTCATATCTATGGATACTCTTCACTACAATATGGGCTGAGTGACTGGTAATGCTACATTAAAATAACCAACAAGTGATTTTGTAATAAAATTCACATCATACTTACTTTCTGCCGACATCTAGGCCTGTCTTCAGGATAACATCGTACCGAAAAGACTGCACCACCTTCTCCAGGTCTTTGTAGTCTTTGGCCACGCTGGGGTCATCCTCGAGCTCTTCCTGCTCACTCACCTCATTAGAGTCTCTCTCTTCATCAGAGTCCTCTTCATCTTCAATTTTCTGCAGAGTCTTTTTAGCAGATTTTTTTGAGCTTATATTACTTTTGAGTCTTATGGAAAATGGAAAAATATATTCTGGAGATATTAAAAGTCCTGGGAGTCTCAGTGAGAAAATGTTATAGAAAAGTATTTTATAATTTGATGCATTTAATTTGGTACTAGAAAAATATAAGTATCGATTCCAGGAAGCACAGAGTTTGTGTGAAGGTGTCCCTCGCAGCACTCCCCAGAGACCAATCCAGGTATCTGGTTTTCTTAAAATACTGGTGGGCAATCTGACACTAGTCATTGCCATGGTGCATATAACCTGCAACAGACAATAATTCAGTTTTATTTCACAAATGCATAAATGTAAGAAATGGAATTCTTACAACATAAACCATACGCACCATGGACATTTTATATCCAGTACTGTCCTTAAACTCCCTTACAAAAGGCCACATTGATTTGTGTGCATGGAGGGCCATGCACTGTATGATGGTGAGTCTCCAAGCAATAATTAACATGCTTACTTCATAGGATGGTCATGAGGGTCATACTAGATATTTGTATGTGTAAAAACACTGGTTCTACTCTTTCCAACCCCCAAATTAGCTTAGTACTCATTGCTACTGAAAAATATTAACAATAGTTCTCGATTATTATTTTTTTTTTTTGTAGTATGTGCCCCTAGCGGAAACCGAACCTGGGACTCTCTGGTCCACAGGCCGACTCTCAACCACTGAGCCAAACTGGCCAGGGCGATGATTTGTTTTTTAAAAAGAAAAATCTCATAGAGAGAAAGACTATTTACTCACATATATTACATCCTTATAATATTGACTTTGCCAAGGAAGGACATCAGATCATAACTTCGTAAAACCCGGAGTGAATCTGTAAACTTTATTTCAACCTCCAACCCCAGCAAATCCGAGCTAGGAATGAACCAACTGGACAGATACACATTTTACCTCCATTACTTTTTACATCTTCCCACTGTTTAGCAGAGGCATCAGCTAGCAGAGGAGAAAGAGGCTTGGAGGCTTGGAGACCCACAATCAGGTAATTGTTTCCTGAGGCACTGAGGTGCTGACATGCCAGAGAGCAATCAATTCCTACATTGTCTCAAAAGCAGCAGAAACTATTATGATGGTGGCAGACTTTTCCCAAGTCCATCAAGATGGTTTTAACACCATGAATAGTAATGCAAGAAGGGTTGCCATATGGTCGATATCCTCATACTTCAAGCCTGCAAATGACTTTCCTTTGTGCCAAGGCTATACTTTCAGACTGATTTGATAATGATTCACATGATTTTTCCTTCTTACTCTCCATTCATCACAAAGCTGACAACAGCAATTACCTGTGAGCCACTCAATAGCACATAGCTAGCTACTTCTAAATTATATTTGTTAACATTTTGGGCCTTATTTTTGTTGGCATGAATGAGGCAGACTACAGAAGCTCAACTCTATTTTAGTGCTCTTGGGACCCCAGTGTGAGTCTTGATTGAGAAATAAAGCAGGCTCAATTTAAGGGCTATTTTTAAACACAACTATAACTTGAACTAATTTTTAAATGCTATGAAATCTCTAGAGTACTCTAAAATACTGAATAGAAACCACCTGAAGCACCTTAAAGAGAAATACTGATATTATTTGTATATATGGTCTATCTAATATAATACAGAATAGATAATAATCATTCATAGAAAGAACTTTAAATTTTATATCAGCAGGGGTAAAGGAAGAAAATAGTTTATTTCAGCCCTGGCTGGTTTGGCTCAGCAGTTAGAGTGTCGGCTCACGGACCACAGTCCCGGTTCGATTCCAGCCAAGGGCATGTACCTCGGTTGCAGTTCATCCCCAGACCCCGTTGGGGTCATGCGGGCGGCAACCAACTGATGTTAATCTCTCTCCCTCTCTCTCCCACTCTGTCTGAAGATAAATGTAAAAATATCATCGGGGGAGAATTAAAAAAAAAAAAAAGAAAATAGTTTATTTTAGTAGTTCCCAAGGGTCACTACAATCAATTTTTTTAAGTTACCTAATGGTGAACTACTTTTTACTTTGCCAAGTAAAGATATTTTTTATTCTTTATTTTGCCAAGTAAGGATTTTTAGTATTAATATAATTAAGAGAAAGAAGATTTCGATGATTATATATGAAATATAGTTTCATATTAGAAAATAGGAGCCCTGGCTGGGTAGCTCTGTTGGTTGGAGTATCATCCCAATATGCCAAGGTTGTGGGTTCAATTTCCGGTCAGGGCACATACAAGAAGCAACGAATGAATGCATAAATGAGTGGAACAACAGGTTACTATTTCTCTTTCAAAAAAAAAAAATCAATAAATAATTTTAAAAACTTGTTTTGAAAAAAATATAAAGTCAAACTATCAATAATCTACTCCATGATAACTACTGTTAACATTTTTGACATATATTCTTCACAATGTAAAATTTTAAGAAAAATAATTCACTCATAAGCAGAACCTCTCATACCTAACCACAACCAAAACATGGGCAGGCTAACCATAAGTGGCCAGAGCTCAACCTCAGGAATTCTGTGTTGGGCTTCAGTTCTAGACTCATTAGAATTTATCCAGGTGATGTCTAAGTTATGGGCCAAGACAGCCCTGGCTGAAATCACCCCCTGGTTTGGGCCTAGACCAGACTGGTTTATAAGATGTTCATGTAATGAAGATGAAGACTAACATTAATAATAACGATTTGGCTCAGCAAGAGTGGCTCAGTTAGTTGAGCATTGTCTGTGCACCAAAAGGTTTCCAATTCAATTCCTGGTCAGGGCACACACCTGGGTTGTGCGTTCAATTCCTGGTTGGGGCACATACAGAAGCCAACTGATGTTTCTCTCTTACATCGATGTTTCTCTCTCTCTCCCTTCCTCTCTTCTAAGCATGTCTTTGGGTGAGGACTAAAAATAATAATAAAACTACAATACCTTAAGAAAAACACCAAAACAACAACAAAAATCATTTGCCTGTCTTTAGGTCAGTGTTTTTCAAACTGTGGGTCATGAGCCATTATTAAAATTTTTACTTTTTAAGAGCTATAACTGAAGGGTATAGAAAATATTACAGTGCAACACATATAGTATGAGTAAATACTGCTTCATAAAATTTTTGTTACATTTACACACACACACACACACACACACAGGGTCATCATGTAATATATTTACTGTGGACCACAATAAACAAAAAGTTTAAAAACACTGGTCTAAGTGACTTCAGCAAATTATTTTTTGCCATCAGGTAAAATGCTGAAGGCCATATTCAGGCCTTGGAGCTCAGAACCAGCCTGCATGTTCCACCCCAATTAACAATATTCCCAGAGCTGTTGGAGTCTACAGAGATAACAAAGGCAGCCTCTCAGGGATAACTCAGTGCAGGTCCCGTATTTTTTTTTTTTATCCTCACCCGAGGATATTTTTCCATTTTTTGTACAGATAGAGTGGGAGGGAGAGAGAGGAAGGAGAGAGAGAGAGAAACATCGACTTGAAGGGACACATCGAGTGGCTGCCACCCGCACGACCAACCAAGGCCGGGGACAAACTGCAACCGAAGTACGTGCCCTTAGCGGAAACCGAACCCGGGTCTCTCCGGACCGCAGGCCGACAATCGAACCGCTGAGCCAAACTGTCCAGGGCAGGTCCCGTATTTTACCGAAGAGTACAAATGAGACTTGGAGCAATTTAACAAGTAGCTCTAAGTCATAGAGCTAGTGATATAGCCAGGATTCCAATGCCAAGTCTTCTTAACACTCATTGATTACTATGGGGTCAGGCATTGCTCTACATATTAACTCATTTATTCCTTCCAACAAGCCCATCTAAGTTACAGGGTCACACAGCTATTAAGTGGACTCAAACCCAGGCTCCCTGGCTCCTAATCAAGGCTACTACCATGCTGAACCTCCCACCAATCTGACTCCAAATCCACTGCTCTTTCTGCTACACCATGACATTTGTCATTTTCCTTTTAACAAAAGCTAACCTTCACTGACTGCAGTAGTAGAGAGAATGCAGAATTTCAAGAACAGAGGCGTGGAAGTGTCGCCCTGACTTAGAAGAAATCCTAAGAGGCGACATCCTGGGGGAGGGAAGTCATGTCTACATATCAGTGCCTGGACTCCCACATACCCCTCCCCAAAGTCCTGCCTTTGTACCACACTGTTGTCTCTATGAGGAATGCCTGGATATGATGGTGCTCTCTGCATGCATCTCAAATAGTTATAGTTACCTACACTAGGAAATTTTACAAGCACAATATAACCTTAAAATCACACTCATATGTCATTACAACAAACATAACCAAAATGGGATGCCAAGCACTACTGTACCTCTGTTTATTAGCTACTCACTCCCTCTCTTTCTGATCTGCCGCTTCCCTCTCCAGCAGGCATGTGTTGGTAAATGCTGGAAATTTAGATAAAATTTATACACATAAAATTGAGCAAACACATTAACCTAATTTTTGTGGCTGGAGATGATGACCATTTGTAGAAGTTAGCAGTGGACACCCAGGGCCACAGAGGTGGAGTCAGAGAATCCAGATTGTGCCTCGAGCTTTGGAACCGGTCAGAGGAGGAGGAGAGCCAGAGGGGAGGGCTAAGCAGCCCCAACCCCTCAACCAGAACAGCAGTGCTGGTGAGCACTGGGCTTCCTGACACTTCATTGGAAAATAAGGATTCTACTATTGAAAAAATGTTTGCCCTTTTCACATGGCCTCCTCCTGTCTTCCAGGCTCCACACAAAATCCACCATCCTCCTCCATCCTCCCCTGCCCACACTCACCGTGCCCTTTCCCAAACTCCCTTTGCACCAAGGCTGTATGCTTTTGTACTATTATCTCCCAATGGAAGTGACTCTAAGGACAGTGACAGGGCAGGAACTGTGCCCCATCCCTCACTCCCATCCCCAATCTGCTCAACACACAAAAACCAGTGAATACTTGAAGACTCACTTTTTTTCTCCCATTGTACTTATTACCTGCTCTCATATTATATAACTTACTGGTGGTTTTTATGTTTATTTTTTGCTTGTTTCTCCTACTAGAATATAAACGCCACAAGGTAGGGATCTTCACCTATATTATTTCTTCTGCTGAATCCGAAGTGCCCAGAATAGTGCCCGGCACACGGTAAGTACTTAATTACTGTGGAATGAAAGTAGATCAGGAGAACTGGCATTCGTATAAATCCAAAAGAGAACAAACATGGGGCTGGACTGATTGATGGGCAATCTGATGGACTGATTGATCGATCTCCAAGGGCCTTGCATATCTTAGATATCCTCAACCCAGACGGCATGGGAGCCACCAAAGGTCTTAAGGAGGTAAGTGACCAGACAGGAGTGCATTTTAAAAGACTTCCTTGGCGACAATATGGACGTAAGCACAGGGGTGATCAGGGCAAGAAGCCCGACGGCAGTTTCAGGTGAGATGTTCAGAAAAGATACAAGATCTGTGACCTGACCGAAAGTTGTATGAGGCAACGCGGGGCTGACCTGCGGGTATCGGCCGCGTTCCTGAGCCTGCTCACTGCTCCGGAAGGAGAACCGGTTCTAACTGCTTGGAGGGCCACTCAATGAAAAGTCCTCCTTCCTCCCGGGCCCCGAGGCGGACTGACTGCAGGGCCGGGGCTGGGTTCTCCCCGCTCCCTCCCCACGCCCGCGGGCTGTGCCCGTCCGGGTGCTCAAGGTCAAGGGGAACTGAACACTTGCGCCCTCGAGCTCCGGGTCTGGGTTGGCGACAGCAGTAGGTGCCGAGCCCAGGGGCGGCCAGTTTCGGCCCGCCCGCCGGGTTCCCTCGGCCCCGTTAGCCCCCGGGGCGTCCCGAGGCTGGGGCAAGACGCGGGAGACTCACGCGGAGATCCGGCAGAAGCACCGGCGGGCAGAAGCTCTCGCCGAGCCCCAATTCACCAGTGCACGTGGTGAAGCAACAGAGAGGGGCACGGGCCGGGGGCAGGGCGCGCCCGCAGGGGCGCAGTTACCTGCGCGTCAGAGCCGCTCCTCCCCCTCCCTCCCCGCAGCGGCCGACCTCCGGCCTCCAGGCACCGCCCTGCCCGTAACCCGCCCCTTCCGGTGAGAACCAGCGGGCAGCGCCCACGGGCGCGGCGGTGGCGCAGCGACCCCTGCTGGAAGCCGCGCCTGGGAGGACTACGCGGGGAGGGTCTCCCCTGGACACGCCGGCCCTACGCCTAGCGCGGAAGCCGGCGCAGTTGTCCCACGTGGCTGAAGAGAGCTTATGTTAATAGAATGGGCCTTGGCCTCTCTGGAGTCACCAACCCTTTGGAACATCTTTGAGAATTATAGACGTTGTCCCCAGGAAAATATATACACCCACCAGAATTTACTGACAATATAAAGGAAGTAAAGATCATTTTTTTCAAGAGTAAATAGATTAGCCCTGGCCCTGGCTAATCGATTAGTGTGGCTCAGTTGAGCGTCCTCCAGTGCACCAGAAAGTTGCTGGTTGGATTCCCAGTAAGGGCACATGCGGGGGTTGCGGGTTCCATTCCTGGTAGGGGGTGTGCAGGAGGCAGCAGATCTATGTTCCACTCTCACATAGATATTTGTTTCTCTCTCTCCCTTCCTCTCTCTCTAAAAAGCAATACAAATATTTAAAAAAGAAAACAAGGGGGGAGGGAGAGTAAAGAGATTAAAAGATCAACCGAGTCACCCTAACTGGTTGGCTTATCCGTTAGAGCATCAGCCTGTGGACTGACGTGTCCCAAGTTTGATTCCCTGTCAACGGTACATACCTCAATTGAAGGTTCAATCCCTGGCCTGATCGTGGGAGAGGCAACCAATGGGTGTGTCTCTCACATGGATGTTTCTCTCTCTCCCTCTGCCCCTCCTTCCCTCTCTATCAGAAAAAAAAAAATCAATGGAAAGATAATAAGAAAGATCAACTGAGTCATACCTGTCCAGTTTATTGGTCAGGCAGTAGGTGGTTAGATATCATAAAATAAAACAAAACTTCAACTCTGAAAATATTGCTTAGCAAGTGGACCTTGTGGAAACAGCCCTATTGCCATGTAAAAAACCAGAAATTAAAGGAAGAACTTCCAAGGGACAGCCTGTGGCATGAAGTTTCATACATGTTCACATAAATGCTCACGAAGATACATGCTCTGTTAAATTAGAAAGTCTTTTTTTCTTGTTTTCAGAGTGACCTCCCTTCCGTTTCCCATTCTACACACTTTCATTTCACTGCGTCTTCACTGCTTCACACAGTGACTACTTGATTGCATTCGCATAATCAGAAAAAGAAGTTAGAAATTGTTTCATTTGCTGCCCTGGCCAGTTTGGCTCAGCAGTTAGAGCATCAGCTGGTGGACCAGAGAGTGCGGGTTCGGTTCCACTAAGGGCGCGTACCTTGGTTGCAGTGGATGTGTCTCTCTCACATCGATGTTTCTCTCTCTCTGTTCCTCCCTCTCCCCCTCCAGGTCTATCTGAAGATAAATGCAAAAAAATGTCTTCAGGTGAGGATAAAAATAAATAAGTAAATAAATAAAATGTTTTATTTAAAAAAAAAGAAATTGTTTCGATTGCTGAAGTGATACAACTGTTATTGGAGAAAAACATGCCTTGTCTTCCCCTATTGCTCGTGGGAGTGGGGTTCTTGGGGTACCCATGGGAGAATGAGACATGGTAGAAAGCTTTATTTCTGTGGAATTACAACCCTGGGGTTGCAAAGTCCATTTCCCTTAGTCCAGTCATAGAAGAAGTATAGCTGGGGTTTCAGTAGAGCTAGAAGCAAAGCCAGTGTCCAGAGTTTCCATTTCACGTTGCAGCCAGATCCAGTTCAACATCCGGCTAGTTACAGTCCACTAGTGCATTGTGTGTGGGTTCCACGTGGCTGTGGACCATATGAAGAGAAGCAGGACCGAAAGAGCCCCACAAGCCCAGAATCACTGGAATCCCAAGAGAGCTAAGAGTACACAAGAGAGCGAACTTCTTTGGTTATGGGATTATATGGCCCAAATTTCCTTCTACTTGCATTGGCCACGCCCATTCTGGCAACCATCTCTGTCCCCAGGTGTGATTGACAATAAGCACCTTCCCTAGTCCCCCCAACTTTAATGGGCATGCATCTACCTTCCTTTTGTTGAACCCCTGGGGAGTTTAAAGTTGTAGCTTCCTGGTGAAGCTGCCCAAATGACATCTGGCCTTCCCTTTGCTCCTTTCCTGTTATTATTAACTAGCTAATTACAACAGTATTACAACTTCATATCAATTCAGTTTATACTGTTGACATTCTATACAGGTGATACATAGTTGCATTTACTAGCTTAAGTAGTTTGTAAAAGAATACAGATATATTTTTAAATCTTCCAATAATCAGGTTAATCAGTACTATTATAAACTGACAAAATTGCTGTAGGATCATGCATGACCATGGAAGGAGATAAAAGAATACTGTGCACTATTGGATTACATAGAATCAACTTAGTCACTGGCTTTTATTTAATTTATTTTTAATATGTTTTTACTTATTTTAGAGACAGAGGAAGGGAGAGGGAAAGAGAGAAACACCGATTGGCTGCCTCCTGCATGCCCCTAATGGGGTCAAGCCAGCAACCCGGGTACGTGCTCTGACTGGGAATAGAACCGGTGACCTCTCAGTGCACAGGCTGAAGCTCAACCAACTGAGCCACACTCTCCAGGGTGGTCATTGTCCTTTAAAATAATACATATTTCATTAGATGCATCAAGTTAAATTTTCAACTTAAAAATGCTAATTAACTTTCAACAATAAAATAAAAAATAAAACTGCTAATTAATATTTAAGAACTGCTGTGAGATTAATAAGTAGTATGTTTGTGTACTGAGCATAAATGAATCAGAAGGTTTAGGCTGGAAATAAATGATAAATATTTATTCAAGGGTCTTAGGGTTTGCAAACTGGAAATATAATTAGGCAAGATCCAGAGTGTTCTGAAGAAGCAAGAAAAGCAGAAAGCGTTCTTATGGTGAAAAGTACATCCCGAAGGAGAATCAGTCCTGCATTCTTAGCCCCTGGATTGGTCTGAGATGGTATTGCTCTGGACAACCAGTAGTCTGGATACTGGATGTCAAGTGGTCTGGAAACATGAGCATTCTTTCCTTAATCCTTCAGTGGGTAATCAGATGGTGATCTGGAGGTTTGATGTATAGCCAGGCATTGATGCAGAACTAGAAAGTTTAAAAGTTTAAATTCCCAAGCTCGGTAAAACAAGAATAGAATTGTTTCCTCATACTTCAACCCACTTGATGTCAGTAATTTAATAGCTTGACTATAGTGACTATATTTTATTTCTTATTTATGATTTTTAACTTTTTTCACAGAAACCCCCCATTTCTTTTCCTCTTCTGAAGCAGCCCCTGCTCTAATGCATTAGGGGAATTGTAGTTTTTAGAGGCTTAGAACACCTAATGGACTAAGTTCTCATTTCACTCATCGGGGCTGCACTGGTGCACAGAATTGAGCTTGGAGTGGAGTCTACAAATCTGGCTCCAGCTTTTAATTTAGCTTAAATACTTAGTCTTACATAGAGAGATAATTAAATCAGCTCAGCTGGTTGAGCGTCAACCCATGCACCAAGAGGTCGCCGGTTCGATTCCTGGTCAGGGCACATGCCCAAGTTGTAGGCCAAATCCCCACGGGGGGCATGCAGGAGGCAGCCAATGGATGTTCTCTCTCATCGATGTTTCTATCTCTCTCTCCTTCTCTCTCTAAAATCAATAAAGAAGAAAAAAAACTTAATAAAAAAAGAGATGAGTAAATCAGACAGCACTGTGGTTGGGCCTGTAAATGAGTTTAAAGTTATTTATTTATTTTTTTTGTGGTACATGCCCCTAGCAGGAACCAAACCCGGGACTCTCTGGTCCACAGGCCGACACTCAACCACTGAGCCAAGCTGGCCAGGGCTCAAAGGGCTTACTCTTTAGATTCTTCTTTTTCCTCAATCTTTCTCACTCTTCTAGATCATTCCTGTCAGCACACAAGCAATACAAATGTGTAACAAGTTCTAATTATTTTAGATATATGAGATAGTTTTCAATTTTAAAAATTGAGTAAAAATAATATGGTGATACTTGTTTAACTCCACTCATATTCATTTCATGTTTATACACACATTTTGGCTTCTTTCCAGAATTCTTTTTTTAATTTTTATCTTTATTGTTGAATGTATTACAGATGTTCCTCATTTTTCCCCCATTGATCCCCCTCCTTCCCAATCCCGCCCCCCTCCTGCCTTTTCCCACACTGTTGTCTGTGTCCATTGATTATGCATATAAGTTCATTGGTTTATTTCTTCCCACCCCACCAAACCTCCCTTCCCTTTGAGGTTTGTCAGTCTAGCAACCAATTTGTTCTTTTAATCCCTTCACCTTTTCACCCATTCTCCCAACCTCCCTTCCATTTGTCAACCAACAAAACGTTCTCTGTATCTATGAGAATGTTTCTGTTCTGCCTGTTCATTTTGTTTGTAGATTCCATTGTTGATAGCTATGTATTCATTGCCATTTTGTTTGTTCATATATTTTATCTTTTTCTTCAAAAAGACCCTTCGACATTTCATATAATAATGGTTTGATGATGATGAACTCCTTTAACTTTTTCTTATCTGGGGATCTCTTTATATGGCCATCAATTCTAAATGACAGCTTTGCAGGATAGAGTAATCTTGGTTGTAGGTCCTTTTCATCATTCTGAATATTTCTTGCCACTCCCTTCTGGCCTGCAAAGTTTCTTCTGAGAAATCAAGTGACAGTCTTATGGGAACTCCCTTGTAGGTAACTAACTGCTTTTCTCTTGCTGCTTTTAAGATTCTCTCTTTGTCTTGAAACTTTTGCATCTTGATGATGATATGTCTTAGTGTGGGCCTCTTGGGGTTCATCTTGTCTGGGACTCTCTGTGCTTCCTAGACTTATATTTCTGTTTCCTTCACCAAGTTAGGAAAGTTTTCTGCCATTATTGTTTCAAGCAGGTTTTCAATTTCTTTTTTTTTTTTATCCTCACCCGAGGACATTTTTTG